AAGAAAAAAAAATTTAATTGTCTTATTGCAAGTGCATATTATCAGATTATCTCATTTTAAGAGTAAAAATACTCATTCCATTGGCAAACTATGTCATTAACCTACTCAAAATAAGGATAAATACACTTAATTTAAGAAATTTTTTACTTATTACTAGATCACTTTTCCAGTGTTGAAATCTATTCTAAAAATGAGTGTATTTTCCCTTGATTTGAGCAGCAAAGTAAGACAATTTACCAATGGAATAATATGATTTAAGTAAAAAAAAAATACTCCATCTGGTTTCAAGTGCATTTTATCTATTTTATTTTAAGGGCAAAAATACTCCTTCCAAAGACATATCATCTTATTTACAAATTGAGAGAAAATACACTTATTTTAGGACATTTTTAACTTGCTTTTAGATCCTTTTTAATTTGGACAGTTATAGAAGAATTGTTTATTTTCCCAAAACGCTATGCCGGTTAGAATCCTTCATAACATCTTGGGAGGGAGAGTTCTGTTCACGTGCAACCAAACCTCTGCTAAATCACACAGAAACAGCTCTGCAAAACCATCACTGTGAGAAACGGTGTCTGCAGCATCAAGATGACCTCGGATGTAACCAGACCTATTGTCCACAGGGATTAAATTAGGAACGTCTGGTCAGTTTTGACCTGAAACCTTCAGGTGTTTGATAGGATGCTGAAGATGAAGATAAATTGAATCATTCTGCATCAGAATCAAAGTAATAATAGTTAAATACAAGTTGGCGAGAGTTCAACTAAATCTGATCAAAACAGTGAAATGTTCTCACTATCTGATAAATTCGAACAACTTTAACTGAATAGAGAGGTCAATGTTATTCACTGAAGATCTGGAATGCTGATCAATTCCTTCTAAAGACGATTGAATGTGAATATTGGACCAAAACAAGTATTAGTTCTGGGTTTGGACACCCCAAAACAAATCGGTTTGATTTTCAGTTTGTTTATACATGATATAAACAACTCAGAGCAAAAACTTTTTATTAAAGATCACTCAATAATCTGTGGACAACCTTTTAAGTTTTTCTCTTTATTCTCAGTTAAAAGCATTTAGCCTCCGTCTGAAGGGATGGGGATCACATCCAGACTGGTTTGGGTTCCGCCCAACCCAGAACTCTCTGCTCCGGCACCTGCTGTGCCATTTATTTGTGTAGATTTAGCCATCCTCTGCGGCAGCTTCCCGTCAGCAAACAGAGCGCTTCCTGTTCCTGGAGGAGGTGGAGAAGATGCGGGTTCACTTCAGATTTCAGTGGGGGAAAAAACAAAAATCCCATCAATACTGCAGCAGCGAGGAGCGTCTGCTCCGTGCTCCTGAGGATATCCAGTTGCTAATGGGCCTACTTTATGATGCACGCTCTGCATAGTTTTATTTATGTACACGAGTTACTTAAAACGAGAGGCATTTTCCACTGCCGTGACATCGATAAAGAGGGGAGAGGTAGTCCGCAAGTATCTTCCTCAGCTCCACCAAATTGATGCAGAAGCTGTTTACTCTGCATCAGTCCACAGGTTCTTCCACCTCCTGCTATTACTATGACTCATCAATGCAGAGTGTCCGTCCAAGCAAAGTTTTACCAGTCGGCATGCCATCAGCATATAAATAAACAGCTTTCAAACTTAAAGTTCAATTTTGGGTTCAGTTTAGTCCAAAGTTTGGCTCAAAACATGCAAACATGAGTTATAATCAAAAGTAAACGAGCCATACACTTTGATAGAAAGCCTTTGAAAGTCAACATTAAATCCGTTTTTTTGTGATAGTTTATGGAACTTTAAGCACAAGTCTGTTTGAGGTAAAAATAAATAAATACAGAATAAAAGATTGCATCAAAGTGTTTTCTTAAAGCACCTTTAGATTTAAATCCATCCTGTGTCCTCTTTGCAGGGATATCCCACATCTTGTTTCACTTTGCCTATGCCGTCCCAAACATTTACGTTTCCTCTCATTTGTACCTTTATTGATTTTCAATTCATGTTAGACTCACTGTGACTTTATTTCGCTATATTGCATTTAGATTTCCTGTTTTGTCACTGGTTGTTTAGGTAGCTGTCAATTTCCCGGTAAAACTGTCTCAAAAGAGAATCTAGTAAGCTTCACTTTGTTGTGCCGTGTTGATCCTTTCCTATGATGTCAGCATTCTGCCAAAAGTGAACAAGCAGGTTTATTTAGCTCAGTTTATCCTGAGCTGTCTCTATCTTTAAGCTGCTATAGTCTTAGACTGCTGGAAGACACTGGGGTCACTTTTTATTTTTCTGACTTATTCTATCTCTATTATCCCATTCTTGGGTATTTGTTATTAGAGATCTGTTTTTCAGTTTTTAATCCTGTTTTTCTCCTAGACATACAGTAGCTAGTTCAGTTCAGCTTAGTTCAGCTTTTACTTTGATTAACTAGGTGTGCTCTCTTTCATCCCTTTGACATGAAAGTTTGTGCAGAACTCGTCTGCTTAACCATTTCTTTCCCAGACACATCCACCCATGGTTCTAGTTTACCATTACTTTTTTTTATCATAGTATTTATAGATCAGTGCTTCAATGTTCTTTTTGTTTCTCTGCTTCTGTCTCCTTGAACCCCAGTCAGCCTCGGCAGAAGGCCGCTCACACTGAGCCTGGTTCTGCTGGAGTAGGATGACCAGACTTCTCCGATTTCCGGGGACAGTCCCCGTTTTGGACCCGGCTAAAGCTGTCTCTGGAAATGTCCCCGATTTAACTGTTTTATGAATGAGGGGGTAAATATTGTTTGTAGACTGTTATTACAGTAGAAAGAGGGCTCAAGCATGCTGCGCACAGAAACAATAGTTAGCTAACTGATTGGCAGCTGTTAACGTATAGATGAGGAGTAGAATGAATGCACCACTTTTAAAGAAGATGAAGAAGTTCTTTATCACAGCCGGTCGCAGCTGCCTTGTGTTATGAGAAGCTAATCTGGGAGCCGGCAGGGAGACAGACCCTATGATCACTCCACTGAAACAGTTTATTCAAGCCTAAATGAACTTAAAATGTTGAAACTTGGCACCAAAATATTTTCGCTTTTAATATTGTGGTGACAACAGTTTGTACCACATACTTGAAAAACGCTGACATCTACTTCCAGTCGCTAGGAACAGTAGGGGAAGATCCCCCGAGGCGACCCGGCACTGGGAAAACGATCTAGAAATATGTCATAATTTCTTAAATTAAGTGTATTTACCCTTAATTTGAGTAGGTAAATAAGATGATTTGCCAATGGAATTAGTATTTTTACTCTTAAAAATAAGATATTTAGATAAAATGCACTTGAAATAAGACAATGCAGTTGTGTTTCCTTGTTTTATATGTAAATTGTCTTGTTCCATTGGCAAATTATCTCTTGCCTTGTCAATTCAAGAAACAATGCATTTTTTTAAAGAAAAAATTACTTATCTAAATTTAGATTTTTTCCAGTGGGCCTGCGGCCGCTGAGCTCACTGCATGGACACCGTTTTGAGGTGGACTTTCTCACATAAAAATATATTAGAACTACTTTTTAACCACTTATCACAGCTAATATTGCAAAGCCGTTCTCTGCCATTACGATATGCTCCTTTATTTAAGTGTTTTAACTGTAATAGTGGTAACTCTTATAATGGTAACTGTAATAATGTTCCAAACATGAGTCCAGTAAAGTCTGGTCTGTATACAACCATCAAAAATAAAGCAGCAGATGTTTTTTTGCTGCTCAAATCGCAGTGTGAATGTTGCGTTACACTTTCTGATTGTTTGAATTAACCTATGAAACATAATACATTACCTAAAAATTATCTCATGTCTCATTGTCACATTTCCACCTCTTGTCAAGCACACATAATCAGGAAAAAGGTAGTGTTGTAATAAAGACAAAAAAGTTAGCTGCATTCCATCTCAAAATGCAGGAAATAGCGTTTCAGAAGATCTAAATTTCAACATTTTCTAAAGATGCGATACACCAAGGTGTACACCCTATGAAATATTCCTAACCAAAGGCCTGTGTGTGAATATTTCTTAAATGTGTGAACTTTTGGCAGAATTCGGGGCTTTTTATAAGCAGAGGATGGTGAGCAGGACTCAGCCCTGTAGGCTCTCCTGTCTGCTCTTTAGCTGGCTGTGTCCCCTGGTACTTGGAAAGCTCTGCTGCTTGGGGGAAAAAATACAATAAAGCTTCAGATGTCCATATTTTTAACGTGTTTGAAGTCCTCCTCTGTAACTACAGTCCTTTTTTTCTGGGTTTATCTCTTCAGAAAGTGTCCGTTTAGCTTTTTCTGTGCTGCCACAGCACTTGTTCTTTATTTGAAATAAACAGTAACAGCATGCAGAGCTGTAAACTCCTCCATCAGCCAGTGTGGACGATATCTAACTGTCCCAGAACAACCATTTCTTTCCCCTGCATGTTTCCCTGAGTGGCAGAGAGGGACCCGGATCGGGTCGGTGTCTGCTGCTGCAGAACACATGTAAATCACAGCTTGCCCGGCAGAATGAGGACAGCTACAGTTGAATGGATGTGTTGCTCAGCGCTTGATTCATTGTTGCTCAGCCTCGGCGTGGACATGAATGTCTCCGTCCTCCTCCGAGGTGGACGTGAAGTTCCTCCCCCTCAGCTGGGACGCCACTTGCTGTGATTAACTACGACCCTCTGCTACTTTACACGTGTTTCAGAGGCGCAGGGAGGAATTTTAAGTCTGAAGGCAGGCAGAAAGTTTCTTGTGTGAGTTTGGCTTTACTTCCTCATCCCATAATCTTCTGTTTGCGTCTGCCTCCTCCTCCTGCTGGTTTTAAAGTCATTAGCTTCCTAATCAGAATTTGCCGCAATCTGCATTATTGTGGGAAGATAATTGGATCGGACTCTCCTGCGTGTGAGGCAGAGATATTGTTAATTATCAAACATCTTCCATGAATTAGATTCAGACGTAAAGCAGCTTAGAGCTTCTTTGCTTTCCATCAAAGTTTGTTGTTCCATCAAAAGTTTTCTCTTCTTCTCCACAGGAGCCCGGTCGCCGTCAGCCACGGCTGCTACTGTTTGGCCCTGCTGAGGTCGGTGCCGGCTGCAGCCTACATCGTCCTGGTTACCGTCCTGCGTTACCATCTCTTCATCTGGAGCGTCTTCTCCCCCAAATTGCTCTACGAGTCCATGCACCTGCTGCTGACCGCGGGCGTCTGTCTCTTCTTCATCACCATGGAGCAAAGCCACAGCTCCAGTAAGTCTTAGGGAGGTGAAAGAGAAAGATCAGATCCTCGGACTGCTGGGACTCCGTCCTGAGATGATGATGATGGAAATGTGTTAAATGAAAACGGTTTGGGATAAATAAAGGTGGGATGTAACTTGTTGAAGACAAACAGTTTTTCTCTGAGATCTGCAGACTAAAAGCAGCTTTGCGAGTTTTTGGAAAGCTTTGATGTTTTTATACAATATCCTCTGAAGCATTCAAGCATCCTGCCAGAACCGAATGTGTCTGAAGCTGCAGACCATCGACTCTCGGCTTTGGATGCTTCCAGACACGACGCCAAGATCAGAGGTGAGAATAAGGAGATCAATCAACACAGTTTTCCTGTTAAAGGATTCAGGTTTGGAGTCCTGCTGCTTTTTTCTCACACCCGACATGGATACTGGAATCAAACCGTATTATTAATAATAGCTTCTCAGGAGTTTTTGCCTTGGCCTAAAGGAGCTAAGGCGAGTGAGCGGGATGTGAGACTCTGCAGCCTGCCGTTCGCCCACAGAGAGCTCTAAAAAGCCTTCTAATCAGGCAGCATTAATGAAAATACCTGTGTGGGTGGGAGGAATAGAGGAGTGCAGAGTGGGAGTTTAAAAGACACTGCAGCCTTTTCTCTTTATCACAAACAATTGATTAAACTCCAGTTTTCTGTTGTTGTTTTTTTTTTTTTCATTGCATAAGTTGACCTTTCTGGTGATATTTATTTATGAAGTTTAACAGTCTCTGGGAAACAGTTTATTCCTCCTAAACCTTTTGTTTGGTCAAGTCACAGAAACTTTAATGTCATTTGTTGGGATTTTGCACAGCAGAATAAAGCCTCATTAGTACTCAATGCACTGGAATAAGAGCAAGGGGAGTGCACCCTACCTCCTTCCCAGCATGCACCACTCCACCCACAATTAACCAGATGCAGATAAATAGAATATAATTACTTTAGGAAGTGAAGCAAGAGAGTAATGGAAAGGAAAAACGATTAAATTCAGTTTATTTATGTAGCGCCAATTCACAACACGTCATCTTAAGGCACTTCAAATAAATCATACAGTCAGACTGGTTCAAAGTTTTCTATCTAAGGAAAATCAGCTGATTGCATTGACTCATTCTGCAACCATTACTCACACCAAGCATGCTTGTAGTGAGGGTGGAGAGGAAAACTCCCTTTTAACAGGAAGAAACCTCCAGTAGAACCAGGCTTAGTGTGAGCAAACACAGGTTAACTTTAAACAGAGTGCAGACAATAAACAGAGAAACGTGTTTTCATTATAATTGGGTGCAAAACTATGCAAACTTTCCCAAATCTGTTATTTTCAATAAAATGTTTATCAGGATAACTTCAAAAACATAGCAGCAACCAATGTAAATACTTGCAAGAGATACATCTGTATTACTGCAAAGGCTCTACTGCTCATCGTCATGGTTAATATTATTTTAACGATTATTAATATCACCTCTTTTCCAGCAGCTTTGAACCTCGTCTCTCCCTTAAGACCTCGCCTCACCCTGCCTGAAAAACACACAATCTGCTCATTTTAATGGCTGAAACCAAACCAGTAACATTTATGCAGCCATCTTTGTAGATCACAATCAACACGCCTTCTTATTGCATGTACTAGAAAGATCAGGCCCTTTGGTGTTTTGGCCGATATTGGACCAATTTCTGATTTCAATATAGGTTCAGAAAATCCCTAGTATTAGTTATAAACTAGAGATAGAGCGATGCATCAGCTGGCGCATATTTTTTACTTATATTAGAGTTTTTTTTTGGTATTGCTATTGACTGATAAGTGCATGCATTTGCTGACTCATAAGTGCATTTAGCATCCATGCCTTGAGATGACAAGAAGCAATGCATTGCTGCTTCCTCCATCTGTTATGTTTCGATTTGTTTGGTTTAATTTGAGGCTTGTACAGGGTTTCTGCAGGTCATTAAAAATCATTAAAAGTCATTAAGTTATTATTTTTTAAATTAAGGCCTTAATTGGCATTAAAATTCATTAAATGTGATTATCATGGCATTTAAAATGCTTTATAAAAAGGTTGATCCTAAAGCCATATGTTCGGAACAGAAGCTCGAGGCACAGAAAAAGCTAGAGAATGGGAAAATGCAAGTTTTAACATAAGTGGCTGGAAAACAAGAAATTCAGGACATGGCTGCAGCCTGTCGATATATATATATATATATATATGAAAGTAATGGGAACTTATTGATGGCATTAAAATAATTTCTAACAGCATTAAAAAGCATTAAATTACAGTAGAGTTCCTCCTTCCTGTATAAACCCTGTTGTATTACATTTTTTGCTGCATTATTTGGAGGAAGAAGAATATCGATTTTAAAAATCTGTCCAAAATAGGCGGCACAGGTTGGAGATCGGTAAGACTGACTATAAAATAATCTCCGATAGTTCAGGCTCATCCGCAGAGAGGAGCACGTCGCCCCAGAGCTCCACTAAACCACAGCCTTAACAGAGAAAGGCAGTTATGTTAAATTAAAACGTAGAAATGCATTTCTACCAGGTTACGTCTGCAAGATTTTTAGGCAGTGCAGCATGATGCTGCCACCACCATGCTTCCCCCTGGGTATATTGTGTGTTCTCAGTAATCTAGTAAAGCACATCTATCTGCTACCTGCTCTGACCAGCACCTCATGGGCCTCCTCCTGCTCCTTCTTCCACGTATTTTATTATTATTTTATTCGTTTTTAGATGTTTTGAAAGGTATGCATGAGCTTTATACCTAAACAGTTCTCTGCGTTGTTCTGTTGCATAAAATCCCAGTAAATATCATTAAAGCTGGAAGTTTTAATGCAAATAAAACTGAAAAAGTGTAAGCGTAATGAATACATTTGCAATTAATCCTCATTTTTTTATGTTTGCAAAATTAATTTCCCAATAGAATAAGGTGATTTAGGTTTAAAACCCTATTATGTATAAAATGGAAATATATTATTTTAAAAGCAGCACTCATTTCTTATTTATCTGCTTCATTAAAGACAAATACACTCAGTTGAAGAATGTTTGATCCAAACCTTTCAGCATCCCATCTTTATGTCCATTTACTCTCATAAACCAAAGTAAATCCAGCCAATAAGGCGGCTTTAATCCAAAGCAATAAGAGCAGCTGTTAGAAAAGGATGATCACCTTTAATAGAAACCTTCCTCCATCCTCTGACTGATGAGAAGAATCGCTGAGGAGAAACACCTCAAGAAGAGTCTGAAAATATCTGAGCTATTATTTCTGTTGGTGTGAAAGAACATCTACGACTGCTTCAGAGCCCCCCCCATCACCACCACCCCCTTTAAGGCCTGAAGAAAAAGAATAAAAGGAATGAGCTAAAAGATGTTGCAACAGTTTGCAGTGTTTCACTTGACGCGCTGCCTGCCTGGTGAAACAGCATCTCGCCTTTAGGCAGAGATCCCTGACGTCCTGCCACAGGCGCCACGGACGGACACCTTCATCCTGTTTACTCGTGCACAGATCCGCTTTGTTTTCACCACGGCTCACCTTGACTAAAAGCTGGAGTGTGACAGAAAAAAGGAATGCAAATGTCTGAGGCTTCGTCAGAAAGCAGAGTTCAAAGTGTCCTCGCCGTATGTGGATCACTGCAGGTCGGGTCCTCTCCATCAGACGCACGTTTAGCTGTGAGGGAGCCGCTGCTCACAGTTAATTTGACCCTTTTCTAAAGCGCCAGGCTGCTACTGTCAAGTGTCTTTTCCGCTCTTTAGCTCAACAGGGAGTCTCAGCCAGATTTCAAATAAAAGTCTGCTATAAATAGTTTATGAGCCAGATAATAATCTACATGACTCTGAGGATTAGTCTGTCAGAGCTCAGTATGCTCCACATCTCTGTCCAACACGCTCAGCTTTGTCTGTACAAACTGAGCTGCTAATCCACACAGATGCTTTCTTTGATTGTTCCTCCTGAAGGCCATGATCACCACCAACCACGTCAATCACCCTTCCTGCTTTGACTCCTTCTTCTGCATGGCGAGTCATTACCCAGCAGGTCCAGAAGTAAAACTAATAGCATGGTCACAAACTGGAGGCATCAGAAACCACGTTAATATCACTCTGACTGAATCTGCATTCATGTCATCTGAAATTAGATGCTTTAGTTTGAAAAGGAATTTGACTAAATTAAACTTTAAACTTAATTTGTTTGCTAGAAGATGTTTTTCATTGCACTGAAAACTTAATTTGGCTTTAATGTGCTTTCAGGTCTATCATTTAGTTTCAATTTGGAAATTTAGTTTCAGACAATCAGGACCTTAAGGGTCACAACTAGAACCTTTTTTAATCCAAACAATTTATTTAAAAAAAATAGAATATTCACATAATTTTCCAACTAATGCATTTAATATTAAAACACCTGAATACATTGTGTGGGCAGTTTGCCCAAAAAACAGACCTTGGAGGTAAATGTTGTACTTCGTGGTTATAGATTTAGCCGATCCAGATCTGACATGCAAAGAAATGCAGAACCTTTTCACCTAAAATGATCTCAAATGATCTGGTTTCAAAATATTCCAGTCATTAAAGATCCAGCTAGAGGAGCATCTGAACTGACAATTCCATTCAGTTTATTTATTTAGCGCCAATTTACAATTTACAGCACATTTAATCTCGAAGCACTTTATAGAGACCATTCAACCAGATCATAGAGTCAGATTGGTTCAAAGTTTTTTATCCAAGGAAAGCCAGCTGTTGCCATCGACTCATTGACTCAACAGCCATCCCCCATGCCAAGCATGCTTGTAGTGACAGTGGAGAGGAAAAACTGCCTTTTAAAGGGGTCATAGAATGCAAAACCCAGTTTAGATTGTCATAGATGAATAACGATAGTTCAGTGGGTGAAATGGACGTACAGAGAAGTCCAAACCGCATTGACACCTCCTGTCTCTGCAAATCTCACAATTCTAAACTACCACCATAAAGCGGGTGAATCCAAACGAAGCCCAGAGTTGACGTAAACTCAGGGATGTTGCCTTATTTGGTTCTGGCCTGTACTTTTGTCACGCCCCGAAATTGACATACAGACAGGCAGACGGGGGGAA